CTTTTATTTCTCTCATGTCTTGGACCGCGGCCGTAATTTCTTTACTCTAATTTATTTCATCTCTTTCTCTTTCTCTCTCTCTCTCCCGTGTTACGTTCGATCTTGGATCGTATTTTTGCGCGGCGACCAATTCAGCAGGGGAAATACGATCGTGGCGCGAAATTCGTGCCCCGCTCGCGCACTCGCGGAAAGGTTTACGAGTGTTCCCGTTGTCTGAGACCGCGATAGCCGATATCACTGTCGCCGGCATTTTAGTGGGCCCTCGATCGTGAAAACACACCTTTGCACTTTATGTTTACGAGTGCGTATACCATTCTAAGATTTATGAGCTGTAGTTGGAAATAATGGACCGCGCGTTTTAGAGCACGGACGTGAAGGGGCGAATCGTTTTCTAGGCCATCGTGCGTGTCGCTTCTTTCAGTCCTCCTTAGTGCACGACACTGAAGGATATATGATCGCACTTGGTGGTACAATCCGTATATTTATTAACAAAATCAATGTACATTTCGCATTCGCACTAGCGTGTGCCTTTCGCCTTGGTTGCGATGGGCGTCATACGATCTTCCGCCGACGACAAATGATCAGCCATTTTTACGTGATTTCTTCACCTTTCTCCGTTCAATTTATCTCCACTAAGTGATTAAGTTGAGCGGCTAACCACGAACACGTCGTAGTGTCGTATTCCAATTACTCAGATGCTCACGAACAGAAATAAAACGCCTACCGCGTAAACTGACGCATCACTTTCCTCGTGCCTTTTCCTGGTCTCTCGTGCGTTAGCTGGTTTCCGTGCGAACGTGTCAGGTCGGAACTGCCGTGCAAGAGGAAAGAAGAAAGAGATAGAGAGCCGTTTCTGGTGGCAAGGGAGTACCAAGACGACGCGCGCGAGACGATAAATCTCGTTTGTTTCCGTGTCGATGAGCAACCCCGACACTTTCGAAAGAATGAGTTCATATATCGGGGGCAGAATCGAGTTCATATTAGTCCCATCTGCCTTCTACGAAAGGGCTTCTACATGAGCGAGCACGCATACTGGGACGCGACTGCGACAGACAAAAACGAACGGACGGCCGAACGCGTAGATACATCCGGATTATACGCGGCCAATTGATCACGAATCTGACGATGTCTGTTGCGCCTCTCTTGTTGCCATACATCGACGTGTTTACGGCAGTCTTTTTCACGGAGAACGTCGTCTCACCGTCGTCGTCGCGTTACCAGTGCGAGTAACCAAATAAAACGTCGAGAAATGAACGCTTTCTCAAAAAATAGCTATTCTCCAAAGTACAATGTAAATCAGTGTATTTTTCACTGAAATGTACTGTACTTATAACTGTAATAAGTACTATAATATATGATTCAATACATCACTGCAATCAGTAAAGTCCCGTTGAAAGAATTAGTACAATAGCAACGACTGTTATCATGATTGATATAATTTGAAAATGCAGACAAATTGCATCACGTAGAAAGTTGAATTTCGTACAGCGTGTAGCGGGTTTGTGACTACAGATTTTGTAGCGAAATGTTACTTTGGCTGGTCAAAACCAACGAGATATGTGATGGAGTAGTGAAGTGAGAGTACTTTCACTGAAAATCAGGGAATACTTATTTTACTTATTTTTATTGATTCAATCAGAAATACTTTACTGATTCGCTTTAAGAGAGCACGCTTCTTGTTCCATGATAATTTCTTTTCTTCAAACGTCACGTGTATTAATCGATTACGAATCGGTGAAATTAGATTGATCATTAATCGAGCATGCGAGATGAATGATCTAAGATGCGCATCTTGGCAAGTGAGAGTGTGAAGGGAGAGGGACAAAGGGCGCGTGTAGGAGACGAGGGAAGTAAAAAAGAACCGGTCATAACAAGCGGCAAATGTAGAAGATAGCCGAGGAAAGGAGAAAGAGAGAGTAAGAGCGACACAGAGATAAAAGAACGAAGGAAAAGAAGACCGAGAAGCGCAAAGCAAGGGGGCTGTGTTTTACGTTTGAAACCAGTTCCTATAGTTTAATTTCTACGGGTGGACATCTTTCTTAATTTATAACCTTCACCCCGTCCTTACCCCGTTCAGCGTGCGACCCTTTGTTATCCTGGACGTCCTTCGACATTTTATCTGCCAATATTTTTTCTCTTTTTTCTTTTTCCTCTCACTTTTTTCTCTCTCCGTAACTCGTTCAATTTCTAATTTGTCTGTAACCGACAAATTCAAGTATTCTGGAAAAAAAACCTCTTGCTGTAACTTCGATTTCGGTTCACAAAATACGTGTAGCCCAATCACGTTATATCTGCTGTACCTTACGGTACATTTTATAAAAACGGATAACATTCGTCTTACATTTTCCACCGTCTTTCATCCCACGAATTAGCGGCCGAATTACACGAGCTCAGAAATAGGTAACAGACGGCAAGGGAAACGCTCGGCGCGTGTGTTTACACATAATATAATATTTCGAAGAGACGAGGGCCTGCGATAGGTCCATCTGTTAGATCTGAATAATGCGTTGGACAAACAAACAGTTGTTGAAACTACCGCAAGAGCGGTTGCGTGACGTTCCAACGAGGAATAAAAGTCGAATGACAGTCGAGTTTCGGAGTTTCAAGCGACGATCATGTTTAATTATCGAAGCACAATACGCGATATTTGTAGGTATTCCCTGAAGTCGAGACCTCCCATAACGGAGCTGGAGTTGCCGAACCTACGCACAAAAGAACTCGCATTGTTGTGTGATATTCCGAAGTCCTAGTGCATAGTCCGAGAAAAAATACACGGAGAAAAATAATTTGCTCTTTTAGCAAAATCGTCGTTACTACTGCATATTCGTAGTGACATCAAGAAACTTTAGTTGACGTAACTAATTTCACAAATTATTCATTATCAGAGAAGTAGTTTCGTTGTTAGGATAGAAAAAATTTGTTGAGTGTATTTGTCCTAAGAATCACGCATTAATTTGCTATTAATGCAAAATAATGTATCCTTAGCAAATTTATTTGTTATCAAAGCATAACTGCAACTGCTTATATAAATCCATCATACTTCTCATAACAAAATAATTTGTAGATCCAGCAAATAGTGATTAGTACTCTTAGCAAATTTTTTTGCTGCCCATATAATAACGAAAAGATTTTGTTAGACCAGCAGAAAATTTGCTGGGCCAGCAAATTATTTTTCTCCGTGTATGATCGTACCGGTGTGACAAAGTCGTGTCGTATGCGTCAAATGCGTCTGAATTACGGTGAGGGCCCCGTGTCGCTTGCTGTACAGTTATTTGCGATGTGATTAGCCGCCGAGGAAACCGCGGGCGCGCGCATGTGCACCATTTAGCATACGTAAATAAAACCGGCATCGGCGTCGTACAGAGCCTTTGCCCGAGTCGCGAAAAGACTCGTCTCGGCCTCTCCGCGGCTGGATTCTGGAGCGCCATGAGAGAGTCACTTTGTAGTCGTATCAGATAACGACGAGGAAATCTCGCGTGAGCCTGTGAAAATCGACAAAATCCAATATGCCGCGAAGAACTGTGAAAATACTTGTGATTTTTCCATCAGGAAAAAGGTCTTACATGGAAAATCCGTCCGACTACGTGATAATAATGAAGCAAATTCCGTGCATATTTAACAACGAACAGCGGAGATTAGAGCGCGTGTATGCCCGCAAGAATCTTTGTATGTTGCAAAGAGAGGAGCCAGGTTTTTCCGATGACGATATTGAAATACAGAAATATCTCTCTCTTTTCCCTATATTTTTCTATTATTAAATCATAGTGATTTTTCATATATGTAAAGTTGTTGAAAAACAGAGCGACTTTGAGCTACTTCACGTTTTTGCAGTTGCGAATATTTGTGCGTGCATGTGTGTGCACGGAAAAAAAGATCTGCTACGTATGGACAATTAAACATTATTTGCTATATTAGTCACTTTTTCTTTGCTGTAGGAGCCAATTTTCTTGCTATGATAACAAGAAAATCTGCTCCTGCAACAAAAAAAGTAGCTAAAGAAGTAAATTATGTTTAGTTATCCATCTGTAGTAAATTTGCTACATTGGCCACTTTTTTGCTATAGGAGCAGATTTTCTTGTTATCATAACAAGAAAATAGGTTTCTGGAGCAAAAAAAGTAGCTGACACAGCGAATTATATTTAACTGTCCATATATAGCAAATTAGTTTGCTGCTGCAGCAAATTATTTTTTTCCGTGTGGGACAAAAGATCAAGTATCTTTTGAAATTAAGTCCTGACCTGAACTGCAATGATTGTATTATGAAATTATCAGCGATCGACCTTCTGCAAAATCATTTATGACTCTTTTCTTTCTTTTTATTTTTTATATGCGCAATTTATATTTTAACGAAATGTGCAATTAAAAAATTCGCAATGCTTCTAGCGAAATTTACTATGTTCCTTAGCAAGGTAAATCTTACCAAAAGTCTATTCCTGCAGTACTACACTGAGAGAAAAAAATCTAAGAAATAATAAATATTTATTTGGTGGGTATTGTTATATATATATATATATATATATATATATATATATATATATATATATATATATATATATATATAT